AATACGGTGTTCATATTCTTCTTTGTCGCGATGTATGCAGCTTCCATGACCTTCCTTTTGTTTGTTCAATCCTCCATGAATTATTTCAGCTTCCTTCCAGTTCGGTAGATGTCCAGCTTCATCTACATGAACCACCATGGCATTGGAATCCTGTGGTGACGGACGTCGGCTCAATGTTCGTTGATCCTGGTGTTGAAGCCACGTCCCGTTTCACTAAAGTAAACCTTATCGCAACTGCTGCAGGGTATGCGATATACTGCACTGTTGTGGTTACTTCTCAACTGCTTCTTGTCTCGTATCATATCATGTATCTTTTCCCCGGATGTGAAAATCGCCATCTTTGTATTCCCGCATAACTATATATAACGTTATTTTACGTTTTGCCTCATCCTTCCTTTCATGCTAATTTTCTGGCTGCTATAAATCATGGTAAACATGTCATTTATACTGGAATTACAAGTGCATTTCTGTTTTTTAAGAGTCTACTAACATTTTTTTTTGGGTCGTACCTCTCTGTCCACTTATTATTATTATTATTATTATTATTATTATTATTATTATATAGGAATATTGAAATTGAATCTCTTAAGAAAGGTATCTTTCTTGGATACTTGTTTTCCTCGTGTTTTTTCTCTCTTTTCTTTTTTATTTCCTAATTTATCAAAATGCTATCCTTTTCTTTCATTTCTTAGAATGTGATCTTGAAATCATATATAGCGAATATCAAACTTTTTGGCCGAAATGACATGCTTCCTAAAGCACTGAATACTTGCCCTTATAAATAGTTTTAACGTAATGATGTAAAAAAAAAATTCTTCGTCAGAGGCGTACCTTTTCCAGTCGCTCCTTAAAATGAGCATCTCTTTAACACCATCAAGATTTTTCTCTCATTCATCCTTTCTATTTCGAATGTTTGGAGACTTGTTAAAGCTAAACCTCTGATCATTGGTTCCCAAAGCAGTGGAAATAAGGGGGGGGGTGAAGCAAATGGGGCGGGGGGCGACAGGATGGCATTAGCAGTTAATAAGTGTTTCATTTCACAAAACTGGTAAATACGTATGTTTATTAAATTTGTTTTTATTTGTGAAATACATACTTATGTTTAATATTGTATGTGCGTATAAGGGGGAGGGGTGGGGCGCCAGGAATCCACATGGAAGCTAATGTGGTGTCAACCTGGAAAAGTTTGGGAACCACTGCTCTAAATTTATGTTTATGTTCTCTCGGATCACTTTTTTGGATTCCGCAAGACAATATCGACGGCTAATCAGTATACTATACTGTATATATTAGTTGGTATTAGTTATCTCAGAATAGTTCATTTCAGTTATTTATGATCTTATTTCATCATTTATTAAAAAAAAAAAAAAAAAAATCACATATATATCAACCCTTGTAAATTACAGATTCATTAGAATACTTCACGTTATCTTTTATTTTCTATCGCTAATCTTCTGGTATATAGGGTTATCATTTCAAACAGGGAAGGCAGAAATATAGTTTAGATATATATATGTACATTTTCTAAAATCGTCTAAATGTAATATTTTTTCCACCTTATTTTCAGCTATATATTCTAATCATGAAGTGAAGCACTAAGTGAAGAGTATAAAACCTGAAAGATTAGTACAAATCGCTTAGAGAGAGAGAGAGAGAGAGAGAGAGAGAGAGAGAGAGAGAGAGAGAGAGAGAGAGAGAGAGAGAGAGAGAGAGAGAGAGAGAGAAGAGAGAATCTGTATAAAATTCCAGAATTAAACAAATCCCAAAAGAAATCGGTATATTGTCATGTAAAAAGATATATCCATATTTGGATTAAGTTACATCACAAGTATATAAGGCAAAGTGTATACTGATGATGACAACTGGCAACTTGGATCCTCCTTACAATATAAATAGAGCATTCTAATACAAGCATCAGTGACATACAGTTCGTTCAACATGAAGATTGTAAGTCACATTTTCCATAATTGGCCTTTAATTCAAAAAGTTTCAGCCCACAATTGGAAAATCTTCATCCATCATGTGTTACAGGCAGTGCTCGCCCTCCTCGTCGCCGTGGCCTGTGCCGACCGGCTGTACGCGCCCCCAGCTCGGGATGACTCCGACGAGGTCGCCATCCTGAGGGACGACCGCGTGATCGAGGACGACGGAAGGTACAACTTCGACATGGAGACTGCCAACGGCATCGTCTTTTCCGAGTCTGGCTCTCCTGGAAAAGATGGAGGCATCAACAGTGCCGGATCCTTCTCGTACGTAACCTTAGATGGTTTGGACTTTTGGGTTATTACACTTTTAAATTTCAGGAATTTTATAATAATATGACTCCTACATTCGATAATGATTTAAATGTAGATAAGGTCATTATCGGCGAATAGCTTGTAGAATGTTAGAATATTTTAAAAAGTATAAAAAATTCATAATATACTAGTTACGCCTTAAAAACTACCTAACTCCTCGAATACATACTGCATACTAATGTCCTTGTCCGTGACAGGTACAT